TGTGTGTGTGTGTGTGTGTAAGTATTGCGTTAACGCATTTCGTATGCTATTGTGAAACAGCAGCAGGGGCAAAAGGAAGGGGGTGAGTTCGATTTGAATTGTTGTATTTTGTTACGTTATTTTATCACATCATTATGACGTATGTCTCACGATGAGGTTATCTTGTACCAATTTTCTGTCGTAAGCTTCCCTCCATAATCTCTTTGGGTCATTTCTGTCAGTGGAGATTCAATAAAGCATACATTATCTTATCTTATCCTATCTTATATTGTCTCATCTTATCTTATCTTATCTTATCTTGTCGATGATAGTCTACTTTCTTCAAAACAATATGCTTCTTTCTATTTAAAACTGTTCAATCACCCCCGTACTATCAGAACGTCTTTGCATCCCATCTTCCGCAGCATTATCCAGCTCCACGGTGCAGGGATCGTGGACAAGTACAAACGCAAATGGTGGCCTTTAGCTACGCAGTGCCCGATAACAAATCAGCAAGTGACGGCCAAATCGCAGGGCCTGGACTCGGCAGGAGCACAGTTCATCATCTTAGCTATCATCATGGTTGTTGCTGCCGTAGTGAGCTGCCTGGAGAGACTCGTTGCCTCACGCTGCAGTGCGAATAGTAATAGGCTGCACGATTTCAGTTCGGGTTGCTACACTTATTCAGATTTTAAAGGTCGGAGAGGAAGGATTGTCGAGACGTCTCACGTTAATAGTGAAAAATCAAGGGCGCTTGTACCTTGCACAGTAATGCCCTCGGAGACTAGAAGTAATGACAGGCGGTACATTAAGTGGACAGGTGAAAGGAAACCTGTGACAGGTTCAAAAGGGCCATGGAGTCGTAGAGTTCAACACTGTTTAAGCACAAACAATTTCACCCTTGCAAAAGCTGATGGGTCTTCTCGTGGCGATTCTTGTCGCGGAGTAGTAAGTAGAAAACCTCCCGACACTAGAGGTAAAGAAAACGGGGAAGCGTCTGACAGCAGTTTGAAACATTTCCCTGTATTGTATTAAAGCATTGTGATATTTTTTAATCACTTCTGTAAATGTTTATGTAACATATTCTCTTTCTTAATTAAAATTCCTACAAACTTACTCCCCTTTGATATAGTAACAAATTTGTAATCTCAGGACAAAGTTTAATACGGATGCAACATCTGTGACGCGCTTTCCTCGTGGAATGGCGCACGTAAAAGTATGCCTAGAGCAGGTGTTATACATCTTGTGTACAGCGGATTTCAGTTTTTGGAGAAATACTCTATCCTTCGACGAAAACACTCCAACTTTATTTCGAGGAACTTCGTCGTATGCCTGCCGACGCTCTTTTAGGTGGCTGTAAAGATTCGTTGAAAGAAGATTGTTGAAAAACTTATTAATATACTCTGCAAGACAAGATGACCAAATTATTCGACAGTATGGCGGAATGGCGGGGTTATTCGACTGTATGTTGGAACTTCTATCTTTTTTCTGTGTAGTACGCAAAGTTGTGCATCACTAGCGAAGTCTTTCAGATGGAGTAGTCGTGAATATTTAAGCCCCCATCGGTACAATCTAGATACATTTGTGCAGACTGTCACTACTGTCAGTCATTTCCACACCGAAACTGAGATGGAGCAGGGAGACTAACGTATTCTAGGTATATTTTGAAATTTCATTGTTTCCCTGAATTATGTCAGTGTGGACATGAAACTTGGATTTTAACGAAAAATAATAAGACGGTGCATAGAAGAGGTAACGCACAGTATTATTAAGCTAGCATCTGCGTTTGTCGCGGCGGCGAGTTTGGCATTGTTTTGGTCCGCGAATCGCGCCGCGATTTTTGCATTAAAAAAACAACCACAAAGCGAAAATTTAAAAAAAACATTTAAAAAACATAATAATAAATTAACACCGCTAGAGAAGCAAAATCGAAAAAAAAGGGGAATAAATATCGAAAAGAAAAAAAGAAAAGAAATCGAACCTCTTTACTTTTAGAAAAAAAAGTTTATTATCACTTCCACTTCACTTCGTCGCTTTCTTACTCTTTGACACCACTTTGATTTGTTATTTTCTTGTGAAAAATACTACTACATTATATTCTTATCCTTTCAGATTTGTATAATATATTGCTTTTTCTCTTTTGTTTCTCCCTCTTTGTTGAGTTTTACTTTGTTAGTGTGTTAATATTTTCTCTTTTTTGTGTTTATATATAGCGCAAATGTCATTTAATTTGATGTTGCTCCTACTTTTTAAAATATAAATGTGTTATGTTAGAGCGTGTCTCCACCAAAACCGAACGCATGCACTGACGCATGCCCTTTGTGTGCATAATTTACATGATGTAATATCCTGTACTTTTTCTTGAATTACGCACGTTTTGGGTTAAAACGGCCAATCTTCGCACACCCTTATACTTGTTTATTTTTGTGGTTGTTTTTGTGCTGTTCTAATTTTGATTTAATTCTTGTGGAACCTTTATTTAACACGTTTTTTACACTCTGTGTAGCTACAAATGATATTCTGGATGCTTTAAACAGAGCATTAGAAATTCCGGTGCTTTAGATTAAGTTGCTTCTATCATCGTATTGCTATATACGTCGTCACAGAGAGTTGAAAGCTTGAAAATTAATAGCAACTTTTATGGCAACTTTTGCCTTTCTTGTGGCTACTTTTGGCAACGTTTGGACAAAAAAATGGCATCAAACGCAGAGGCTAGATTAAGAAAATGTATTGGCAAGGGAGCTAAGCAATGCCGGAAACTAAGGAACTGCGCATCAGGCGTAGAAATGAGGGAAACAGACATACACGCGCATGAGAGAGAGAGAGAGAGAGAGAGAGAGAGAGAGAGAGAGAGAGAGAGGGGGGGTGGGTGTGGCTGGAGATAATTGGCGAGATCGACGATTTAAGTAATGGTGTTAAAGAGAAAGACCGAAAAGAAGCTAGGGAGAGTCGAATTGAAGGTGCTCGTTGCATTCAAAGATCCTGGCTCAGAATTAATTAATGCCATAGTGCTAATAAACCCATGACTATGGTAGGATGATTTAGGCTTTACACACCTAATGACAAATAAGGGGGCATAATGACTGACTCAATGTTGCTTTTATTGATGAGCAGCAGAATTGCTCTAGAAAATAATAATAATAAGTAGCATTTGCATAGGGCACAGCCCCGCTCTGCTGCAAGCTCTATGCGCTTAACAGTGTATTACTACTCTAGCAGACAATAGAACACTCAGAAACATTCTCAGCTTCCCGGGAAGCATACAGAGCAAGCAGCTGATTAAGCGCCTTAACACTAACAAACTGACAAGATCTTCCACTGTCTATAGCAGGGTACCCATTCCATCCTAGGTGAAGTGAGGAACATTTGTGTAAAGTGCCTTTCCCAAGGACACAACGTTGGGTCCCTGACGGGATTCCAACCCAAGACCTTACTGTAGCAAGTTTGAGAACCTAATCATTCGGCCACCGACTCCACTTTCAGTCTAGTTACACTGAATGTTAAGAGTAAGAGGGTAGAGAAAGAAGGTGTTGTCAGAAACACCGCAGAAAGACAAGAAATAGGCAGTCTCCTGGTACGTGATCAATGTTTTAGGGCTACCAAATCCGAACACATTTTTCTAATCCCGGAAAAATGCGTTTATGTCTCAAAGATGACGACGTCATCAAGCCTTTGTTTTTGAAATTCAGAAGAGAAGACCGACTGTTGGAGAACTCCCCCCCCCCCTCTCTCTCTCTCTCTCTCTCTCTCTCTCTCACACACACACACACACACACACACACACACACACACACACACACACACACACACACACACACACACAAACACACACACACATACATACACTTACACACACGCACAAACAAATACACATACAATCACAGACTGAGAGGGATACATTATCCCCGCAGACAGATGGAAATATTTGAAAAATAACTTCCTCCATAAAGAGACGAACTCGCGTCTTTTAACTTCAACTGTAAAGACCCATGAGCACTACACCGCTTTTAGTAATAACTGATCTCTGTTGTGTTGATTGCAGTGCAAAACGTTTTCAACAAGTTATTTTACGAGTTGGGCATGTTGAACGCATGTCGGGTCGTGGGCTTACCTATATTTTGCTAAAATGGGGTAAATACATCTAATGGAAACTACACCGTTCACTGTCTTCTATATAGTGGCGTGTAGAAGCAGGCCATCACCTGGGAGCGATTTCTAGTGTCTCCTAGTTGTGAGCTGGTAAAAGTTCAGAAATATTAATAAATCAATCCTTGCTTAAAATGAGAAACACAGTATTGTCTGTTTTTATTTATAGTCATTAACAATTAACAACTACGTAATAAACGTATAAACGTGGGCAGTCATCATCATTAATTTTCCTTTGCTTCATTTTAAAAACTCACCATCGTCTTCAAATCGCGAATGACATCAAAGAGTAGCATTGGTAACTCTAATGGTAACTACGAGGGCATCTACGACAACAGTAATAACAGTAACCTTTGAATTTAGAATGGGGAGTACAATAATTAAAGACTCCCCGGCTGCACACACTCACTTTTACACTGTACGCATTTTCGCAGCTAATGAAATATATCACTTTTTTTTCAAGTTAAGCTGAACTGATACTCATTTCACTACGTTCTCAAGCGTAATGTTTAGAAGACGTTAATCTATCCCCCCGAGTATTCCCGTCGATCTACTTGGATTATGTCTATTCAGGTATCCCAAAAACTGCATTTGTCGTTTCCTGACTGTTTTTAACATTGAGCGTCCCGCGGAGGCTTCATCAAGCACTACCTCATTTGATTTCTTTTCCTTCAACGATACTCTTAGCAGTCTCCTAAGAAACCACTTTTCTGTTGCTTCTATTTTATTTTTATCTTTAGTGATTGTCCAGCATTCACAGCCATATAGAATGGTTGACAAAACATAGCATTTCAGGACTTTCATTTTAGTGTTCATTGAGATGTTTCTATTTTTCAGGGTGGAGCTCATTTTATTGAAACTAGCCTTAGCCATTGCAGTTTTCCTTTTTTATTTCTGTGGAATATTTGGCATCAGATATTATCATATATCCTAGATATTTAAACTGTTGGACTTGTTTGATCTTTTCACCTTTGCTAATGAGATTACAACTAGGATTTGCTGCTTTTTTTATATTACCATGCATTCTGTTTTCTTTACATTCAACAATAATCCTTTACGTTCACTTTCTTTTACAACAGTATCTAGAAGCAATTGAAGGTCCTTTTCGGAGCCTGCTATTAAAACCCTGTCATCTGCATACCTGATGTTATTAATATTTTCTCCATTTACTTTGAGACCTGGACATTCTTCTATATTTCTAAAGGTTGTTTCACTGTACATGTTAAAGAGGTCTGGTGACATAACACATCCTTGCCTCACTCCTCGCCTAATCTGGTTATATTCACTGTATTCTCCATTAATTCGTACAGTAACGTTTTGGTCCCAGTACAAATTTATGATAATTCTTAGATCTTTTCCATCTATGTCTAGCTTTTCCAGTATTTTAAATAGCTCATCATGTCTAACTTTATCGAACGCCTTTGAATAATCTATGAAGCATAAATACAGATTTTTCTGTGCTTCAATACATCTTTCCATTAACATTGTTAAGGCGAATATAGCATTTCTGGTGCCCTTGTCAGGAACAAAGCCGAATTGCGTTTTAGATATCTCTGGTCTTAGACTTTTTCTCAATCTTCCCATTATTACTCGCAGCAATATTTTTGTAAAATGACTCATATGGCTAATTGTTCTATGCATATCACACTCAGTGGCACCTGGTGTTTTAGGTATAGCTATAAAAACGGACTTCATCATATCTTCTGGGATCTCACCGCTGTCATAAATAGCATTTAGGAGCTTTGTTGTTATTTCAGTGCCTAGTTCTTCAAGCGCGACAATCACTTCAACTGGAACATTATCTGGCCCTGTGGCTTTTCCTTGTTTCATTTTCCTAAGGACAGCTTGTACTTCTGCTTTCAGTATTGGTGGTCCATTTATTTCATTCTTTATTACCGGTTTTTCTCCTCTATTATCTTTGAAAAGTTTGTCTATGTATTCTGACCATCTGTTTAAGACATCCCCCTTGTCCATTAAAATATCCCCTCCCTTTGATCTTCTGCATCCTGTATTTGAGCATCCTTTTATCCCACTCACTTCTTTGATTTTTGAATGCATGTATTTGCTGTCTTTGCTTTGGTGTCTTTTCCCCCCTCATAAGAGACAATAATATGCTAAGATAAGATAGGTTAATATTTTATTGATCTCCACAAAGAGACATTTGCTGCGGAATGGTAATTACATAGCCTGCACTCACACGCACTCATGTTAACACAATCTTTCACACACGCATGGAAATAAACAAGCGCCCAAACTCACTTACATTCGAAAGTTTACACTTACGGACTGTCATTGGATGGACAGGCAAAATTATATAATATTCTCGCAAATATATATATATATATACGATGTAATTTATGTCAATGGTAGTATTGCGTACGAAGCAGCAGACGCAAGTGAATGACCGACGTGAGACATAGTAAAACCTATCTCAACAAACAAGAGACAGAAAGGGCTTCCGCGTTGCTATAAATGATCCTGATTTGAATACCGCATGGGGTTGCATTAGGGATTTTACAGGGATCTCCACCCACTTGGCTCGATTTAATTGGAGATACAAGTTGGATTGGAGTTCCCGCTCATAAATAACCTTGCAGTATTCATAGTCTTCAACCCACAAAGTACATCTTTGATAGCACGATCAGGGTTTTCTGGTGTAATGGTGAGTTTGATTAACACCTGGAGAGAATAATATTTATCGAGTACCTCCCTGTATTTATCTTAGTGCGTTGAACAGAATCACTAGCAAGCATAGCCAACACGAAATAAGTCAACACGAACAAATACAAGTGTTTTTAAAAAATATTTATTGGCAAATCTTTTCATTTTTTGCCATTCAGTCAGTTTTTAAAAGAAATATGAGAAGCTGATACATCTAATATAATAATCAAATTGCGTTTCAAATATCACACTTTTATACCGGTGACTGTATATACGATAGCACTGAGAGTGACTAATTTTAATTATCGATAATCAGAGGCAAAGAACTACTACGGTAATGGTATCCTACTCTACGTTCCTGAAAACAAAAGGCAAACATTTTTTAAAGTGATGTGGCTATGAACACACAAACACTCTTATGAAAGGTTTACCTCGGGCACTGAGTTGGCAGCGCACACTCTGGTAATGTTATTAACTTACTTAGCCCTCTTCGTCGCGCCGTGTAATATAAGGACTCAACCAGATATCGCCGTTATCAAATGCCTTTTTTTTTGTCAATTTCTCAAGCAGACACCCCTGTTTCTTTGTTCTGGTCTCGACAGTCCTCCATTTTCGGTTACGTCTCCGTCTCTCTATTTGTCATCTGGAGCCCAACAAAAGATAGCTTGAGGTGTAGAAGGTGGCACCTTGCACACTGAACGTCCACAGCACTTCCTCCTCCGCACCTTGACTCTCACGGTGATCAAGCTGGTGCTGATGGTCTTGAACATCTTCCATGACATTTGGTTATAAAGGAGCTGGCAAATGTCTTTGAAATTAACAACCAATTTGGACTTGAAACTGGTGTTTAGCCATGTTTCATAACTCGAGTTCGGTCGGTGCCTTGATGATCAGTTTGCCAATTTTTTATTTTGCGTTTTCCTGGTCGCAAACGAGAGCCTTGGTCTCTGCAAACCTATTCGCTCTCCACTTAGTCACACTAGAGGGAAATAATAGAAACAGGATTTACCCTTAGCGTCACCCAACTAGCCATCCGGAGACTAAACCTAGTTCGTGTGGTGCCGCTATTTGTGACGTATATTTCTACAGAGTAATAAATGTATCTAATAATTTATATAATAATATGATGAAAAGAAGCATTCGTATTGATAGTGCTGAGGAGTAACAAAATATCTCGTCACTTGTTGAGACAAATTAGATGTATATTTAAACTATAGACGCTAGGACCAACTAAAATCGATCTATGAACACATTCAGTATAATAACTGTTCAGAAAACGAGATCTGAAGTACTGGTGAACAATATACAGCCAATACTATGCAACCATTGGGATATAAACATTATTGTTTTGTTCTGTAAATATGCCTTTTCTCCGCCCCGCCCCCCTCCTCTCAGTCAATTAGCGCAAATCTTTTGGATTGCGAAATATAAAAAAAAACCCACCCAAACCTTTTATGTACTTTTACAATCAGCTATTAAGCCTCGGAACAGACTTCCGCTATGCAGTAATACTTTCGAAGATAGATGCACTCGGTTTTCACAAAGTTGAAGATAGAAACTATCTTTCGGTGAACATGAACAAAGACACGCAGGTTTAACCTTCCCATACGATACACAAATGTACTCTCAAACACATACATGCACTCTCTCTCTCTCTCTTTCTCTCTCTCTCTCTCTCTCTC